AGATGGTCAATGACTCATGGTTGGAAATTAGAGTCATGCTGTAGCAGACAGTTGGAGACTGGGGACATGTCACATGAAACTGCTAGCCCTATTACAAATCAAAGCTCCCATTGCCAACTGCTGGGTTCTGAGGGCACACTGCAAACACCAATGGGCCGCATGTGGCCTTCGGGCCATAGGTTCGGCACTAGGGGGTTAAAGCATGATTACTTCAATGTTACTGGTTAAACTGAATCCTCGCTCATCAGTGCATGGGCATGACTGCTGTGACAATGATACATATGGCCATAGCCATACTCCTTTCTGTACAAGTATGTTTATAACAGAAATATACACTATTATTATTATTATACAGTATTTATATAGCGCAAAATGTTTGCTCAGCGCTGTACATTATAATGGGAGACAGTACACGAGACAGTACAGTAACAATACCATGTGATACACGAGGGGTTCGAGTGCCCTGCTCCTTGGAGCTTACAATCTAGGAGGGAGGGGAGTGGTATAGGAGGAAATAGATGTGGGGGATTGAGTGGTGGGAAGAGCGGAGGAGATCAGCAATTAGGTGAGGGCTGGGTAAGCTTCTCTTAAGAGATGGGTTTTCAGGATGCACCTAAAGGTGAGGAGGGAAGGTGACAGTCTGACGGATTGGGGTAGTGAGTTCCAGAGGATGGGGAAGCCCTGGAGAAGTCCTGGAGATGGGCATGGGAGGAGGAGCCCAGGGAACTGGAGAGTAGGAGGTCTTATGAGGAGCGGAGAGTGCGTTTTGGGTGGTAGATGGATATCAGGTCAGTAATGTAGTTTGGGGCAGTGCTATGGATAGCTTTGTACATCAATGTTAATATTTTGAATTTTATGCGTTGGGCAATCGGAAGCCAGTGGAGGGATTGGCAGAGGGGGGAGGCGGATATGGAGCGGTTGGTGAGGTGGATGAGTCTGGCTGCAGAATTCAGGATAGACTGAAGCGGGGATAGCCTGTGTTGCGGTAGCTAATGGGCCACAAAAATACCAGATTAAATTCCCATACTCAAAAATAAATGGGTCATAACATATATTTACAATATGAAATAAACATGATATACACAAGTGCAATATAAATAAATAATGAAAAAGTAATACATAAATGAATATTCACAGTGATATAGTGTTGTAAAACCACACTTGTGATAATGTGCAAACACTAATTTTATCTGATATGCCAATCAAACAGCTAACCAGACCAATTATGTGAAATAATCCAGTGATGTGTTACTCAATCTATTCACACAAAGTGACAGGTGCTCAAAATGTATAAAAAATATAAATATATATTCAAAAATTCAGTCCACAATAAAGTGCAAACCAATAAGTGCAAACAATAATAATGTGCAAGTATGCAAATGAAGTGCTTCACTTCTCCACTCCACGCTTGATGTGTGCTCAGGTGACACTCTAGTGTATCTATCCTTAAGTGGCTAGAGTGCCTCCTCACCTCCTTAACTCGACCCCTAGGGACCACAGTTCATTTAGGTTATTGGAAGTTCCACACCTGGAGGGATCTCTACCACCTGGCTCCACTGGCTTCACTTGCTCCACATAGACTCCACTGACAGAACTGGTACTCCTCTATATATATGATCAGCATAGTAGGACTCAAACATATTCGGTGAATACCTAGGCCATAAAGGGATACACAAAGAAGACCTCCATAGTGTAATGCTGTTTATTCCAAATATAAAAAAAAACGCCAAATAGAACACTCACATTTAATCAGGTACAGACCAGCGGTTTCCCATGTGCTATGGGTGTACTTGCGAGACAATGGGTGTATAAAGATGGTGTGAACCGGATCCGGAAATGTGTCACCACACTCCAACTGGAAATACGTCACCGCGCTCTACACGTTACTCCACGATAATCACGTGGCTTCCTCAGGATAGCGCGATTGGTGACAAGGACTTCTATTTAGGCACTCTAGCCACTTAAGGATAGATACACTAGAGTGTCACCTGAGCACACATCAAGCGTGGAGTGGAGAAGTGAAGCACTTCATTTGCATACTTGCACGTTATTATTGTTTGCACTTATTGGTTTGCACTTTATTGTGGACTGAATTTTTGAATATATATTTATATTTTTATACATTTTGAGCACCTGTCACTTTGTGTGAATAGATTGAGTGAACACATCACTGGATTATTTCACATAATTGGTCTGGTTAGCTGTTTGATTGGAATATCAGATCAAATTAGTGTTTGCACATTATCACAAGTGTAGTTTTACAACACTATATCAATGTGAATATTCATTTATTTATTACTTTTTCATTATTTATTTATTATTTATAAATAATAAATTATAATTATAATTATTTATAATTATGTTAAGCATAGCGCTTCATCATTGTTGAATGTTATGAATTTTTTTGTGGTATAGGGAAGAGGTGATAGCAGCTGGCACTGGTATTGTTTATTTTGTATCTGTGGAGCGCAGGGGGATTTTTTTACTGTGTTGGGGTAGGCCGGCGAGGAGGGAGTTACAGTAATCAAGTCGTGATATGATAAGGGAGTGAATGAGTTGCTTTGTGGTTTCAGGAGTTAGGAACGTGTGTATTTTGGAGATGTTGCGGAGGTGGAGTCTGCATGAATTTGTCAACGATTGGATCTGGGGCTGGAAATACAGATTGGAGTCTAGAATGACACCTAGTACTTTGGCTTGCAGGGTGGGGCTGATGGTGGCATTGTTGGTCGTGATGGGGGGGGTCGCGGGCTGGGGGGAAAGCTAGGTGCTCGGTTTTAGCAAGGCTTAGTTTGAGGAAGTGGAGTGACATCCAGTCTGATATGTCGTTCAGAAGGCTACTGATTCGGGCGGAGACTGAAGGGGTGAGGCGAGGGTAGAGAAATAGATTTGAGTGTCATCGGCATAGAGGTGGTAGTTGAAGCCGTGGGAGTGACCAAGCGAGGAGGTATAGATGGAGAAGAGAAGGGGCCCGAGGACAGAACCTTAGGGGACCCCAACAGAGAGGGGAAGTGAGGGGGAGGTGGCAGCGTTATCGGTGATGCTGAAGGAGCGTTGTGATAGATAGGAAGAGAGCCAGGAGAGAGCGGAGTCTCTGAGGCCAAAAGAGTATAGTTTTTTTGAAGAGGAGGGGGTGGTCGACCGTGTCAAAAGCCGCGGAGAGGTCGAGGAGTAATAGCACTGAGTAGTGGCCTTTGGCTTTGGCGGTTAGTAGGTCATTGGTGAGTTTGAGTAGGGCAGTTTCGGTGGAGTGTAGGGGACGGAAGCCAGATTGTAGGGGATCAAGGAGGTTGTTGCCAGTGAGGTGGGAGCTTAGGCGATTATAGGCTAAGTGCTCAAGGAGTTTGGATGAGAATGGCAGCAGGGGGATGGGTCTAAGATTGTTTAGGTCGGTGGGATCCAGGGAGGGTTTTTTAAGTATGGGAGTGATGTGCGCATGCTTCAGAGGGGAGGGGAATGTGCCAGTAGAGAGGGAGAGATTGAAGATGTGAGTGAGGGAGCGTAGGATGGAGGAGGAGGGTGATCGAGTTGTGTGGGGAATGGGTCAAGGGGGCAGGTGGTAAGGCGAGCTTCAGAGAAGACCTTAGTGACCTCTTCAGTGGTAGCAGGGTCGAAGGAGTGGAGTATTGAGGGGGTTTGAGTGTGGGGAATGTTGGGCGGGGTAGAGGTCTGGACAGTGGCGAGATCGAAGGAGAGGAGTGATGGGAGGGTTTTCGTGTGAGGGATGCTAGGTGGAGGGGAAGTCTGAGCAGTGGTGATGCCCCTGAGAATTGCTTCGATCTTGCTTTGGAAATGGTTAGCAATCTCTTGGGCGGTGAGTGAGGTACCGGGTGGAGGTGGGGGCGGAGAGAGCAGAGAGTTGAAGGTGAAGAAGAGCCGGCGAGGGCTGGAGGAGAGGGTATTGATGAGGGTTACAAAGTAGGCTTGCTTGGCAGCATGGAGGGAGGAAGTGTAGGTGAGGAAGGTGGATTTGTATCGGGAGAACGTTTGTTGGGATCTGGTTTTGCGCCATAGTCGCTCTAGCGCACGACAGTGTTGCTGGAGATTTTTGGTATGGTCATTCTGCCAGGGTTGAAGCAGTCGGGGTCTAAAGTTTCCTGTGGTTAGGGGTGCTAGGGAGTCAAGAGCGGCTGACAGTGAGTTGTCATAGACAGTAGTGGCTAGGTCAGGGGGCAGGACAAGGGAAGGATACTGTCGTAAAGTTGGTCAGCTGCAGAGTGGAAGGGGGCAGGGTTTAGGTTGCGGAGGTTTTGGTTGGTGATGGTTTGACGTTTAGAGGGCTAGGTGTATGAAGACGAGGAGACGGAGAAGGTAATGAGGTTGTGGTCAGAGGGAGGAAAAGGGGTGTTTGTGAGGTTGTGTGGGGTGCAGAGATGAGAGAAAACAAGGTCCAGGGTGTTCCCGTCAGAGTGGGTGGAGGACTGTATGCACTGTGCGAGTGCAAAAGAAGAGGTTAGATGGAGGAGTTGGGATGTGGCCGGGATATTGATGTTGGTAGGGATGTTGAAGTCTCCAAGGATGAGGGTACACTACATAGGGTGTTTCATGTACAGACCTGAACACATGCAGGTTATATCATCATATATATACATTATATTTATGAACCTAATCTACTCGACTTTGTTTTAGTTTTTCTTACAATAACTCCTATGACCTCTTTGTTTCTTAAAGTATATACAAATGGATTTAAGGTTGGAACAACAGCCACATAGAGCAAAGAAACCAGAGGATCTTCTTCCTTAGAATCTTTAGGTTTGGGCTTTATGTACAAGAAAATGATTGGTGCATAGAATAACAAAACACTGATGAGATGAGAGGTGCAGCAAGAAAATGTCTTGAGCCGACCTTCAGAAGAACGAATCTTCAAGATATTGTAAACAATGCAAACATAGGAGATCATAATAATCACAAATGTGAAAAATATAAAACAGATGTCTTCCACAAAGAGAACCATTTCTGTGCTGGTAGACTCACTAGAAGAGAGTATTATCAGTGACCGTATTTCACAAAAGAAATGGCTGATATTGTGAGAGTAGCAGAAGGATAGTGTAGATGTAAGTAAAGTTAAGAGTAATGAATTCAAGACACTGGCAACAAGTGAGCAACCAGACATCACAGCACATACACTTTTTTCTCATTATCATTGAATAGTGCAATGGAGAACAAATAGCAACGTATCGATCATAGGCCATACAAAGCAGAATACAAATCTCTGCATCAGCACAGAATACAAAGAAATACAACTGGGTGATACAGCCCTCAAAGGAGATCTCCCTATAATCTGTTAAAGTAAGGGATAAAAGCTTTGGAAGAATGGCAGATACATATGTGGCATCTACAATTGATAGATTCAACAAGAAGAAATACATAGGGGTGTGCAGTTGAGGTGTCTTGCAGACCAACAAGGCAATAAGCAAATTTCCTGTCACTGCTATTACATACATCAACAAAAATCCAGCAAATTTAAGATAAGTTCCAGTTCCAGAAGTAGTGAACCCCATAATGTGAAAGCCTCTTATTGTATTGTTTTGGCATTCATCCATTGTATGTACTAAGAAAAACAATAGAGGACAACATAAATCACCTCAATTACAGACCTAGTATAAAGAATGAATATTCTTTCCTTTTGTTACCATGTCATCCCTATTATATTAGGGGCTTACGGGTAATATGACATTCACTGTAGGTCAATCTTTCTGGCAGTACAGGGACTTACTAATAACCAGTGAACTTCTGCTGAATTTAACAATTACTACTTTATCAATATGCCCATAGTATAAATTTAATCTCATCTTCCCTGAGGTAAATCCATAGTAAACTGCAAAGAATTTTTAGCAATGTAAAATTCAGTAGCAAAAACATGTAAGAGTTTCTGCATGTGATAGAGAGTCATGTCCTATATAGTCTTTCCCCAGGATTTCTCGCTTAAGTTTCAAACTCTTAAAATATAATTTTTAGTACTATACCAAATTTTTCTTCTTCCTTTCCAAACACCAGCCAGGTCAGAAAAATAATATAAAACCTATAATATATAGCTTTATTAAACACCCAACATATTTTGCTGATAAAATGGCTTTACCAGGGGATTTGTGAAGAAACAAAAAAGTAAGGGAAAAAATTAACTTTTGCACAAAAAATTTGATTTTCTCAGAAATAAGCCTAATTATTGTAATACCTTGTTTTTTGTTATAGTACCAAGGCTGGCCTCAGATGACATAAACTATCCTGTTGCCCTTGCAGAGAAGTCAGTCATCCTGGCACACAGTCATCCTGGGACATGAATGGTGGTGTAAACTGAGAATTTTTTTTATCACAGAAGAGACACTGCAGGTCTCTTCTGTGATAATAGCTGCCTGCTCGCAGTCTGTTAATAGAAGACTTCAGTTCAGTTTTAAAGTCCACAGCACTTACCTCCCCTCAAAAAATGCAGCACCTGCAAGCTGCCCTAGGCCACTTTGATTGAGCCACAAAAAAAAAAAAATTCCCTTGATGGGACATTGTACTCCGACAGCGGCACCCTCTGCTGTCAGAATACACTGATCAGTGGCTGCAGCTGATTGGCTGCAGAGACAGATCTATGAAAAGTTTTTAAAGTGTTACTTTGATTTTTGTCAAGCGAGGACAGCCAGACACTGATGAAGTGTGGCCAGCTTAAAAAAACTTGCTAGCAGGCAGTTAAGAAGCATTTATTGCAGAAGTGACACACAGATTCATTTCAGCAACAAAAGCCTTCCTGCTAGCAGTTTTTTCCCACAAGTTCCACTTTAAGTGCTCAAACTTTTATGTATGTGTGATACAGGAACGGACTGACCATTTGAAAACTTGGGCACTGCCCGAGGGCCCGGGGTCAGTAGGGGGCCCCAAGAGATGCCCCTGGTACCTTTTTCATAGTCTTTTTTGAATTTGGGCAAGGACACAGGGGCCCCATGATCCCCTATTGCCCAGGGGCCCCATGAGTTGTCAGTCCGCCCCTGGTGTGATATATGTTAGGGAAATTGTTTGCTAAAAAAATACTTTTTTAAAAATGTTCGAAGATAACTTTTTTTTTTAGAAAAACACCCAGTTTTGAAAGATCTTTATAATCATACTATAATTAACTTGTATTGCATGCAGATTTTAAAAAAGTTCTTAGTTTATTGAACTGAAATACCATGAAAGGTAATTGAAATAATGGATATGTAATGTATTAACATTGCAATGGAACAATGTGTAAATCAAGTCTTACCTGAGAGTTCATATATTTTTTAAAGTATCTAGACTTTTGCTAAGTAGTAATAAGCACACATGCGAACCATCTATTAATATATGTTATAATCTGTGTAGATCAAGAAAATGAAACTGTGCTAAAAATATGTTAGCTGTACGGGTGAATAAAGATATTGTATGTGTTCTTCATGTTGATATTTTCACAGATATATAAAAGTGGTTGCTTTCCTCAAGGAATAGGCAAATCTCTCCTCTGTGGGATCTAGTCCTTATTGAGATAATATATTTTTATATCCTAAATTATCCTTCTTCAGCAAGGAAATCCATTGCTGCCCTTTAATTAGTTTATAAAATTAACACTGAAGGGTTCTGTTCAGATTAGAGATGAATAAATTGCTCTGTGCAGATCAATGTCTTACCCAGGTTTAGTCAATTCCTTAAATGTTAAATGTTTAAGTTAAGTGTAAATGTTAAAGTAAGCAGGTCACAATCTGCTTTATTTCTTTCTTCTTAATAAACTATGTTTATCAATTATTAAACAGCTGTACAGAATATACAAATGTACATAAGTACTCATGTGTAACATCCAAGACACTCATTTTTTTCCAAAATCAGACGTCAGCAAATAAAATAAAAGGAAAATAAACCCATTGCCAGTCTCTTGAGAGTCAATGTGATAAACATGTAAAATGTTCTAGATACATGTCTTCCTCAAATTATTCTTCTCTATACTGTATATGTTGGCCCAGAGCACCAAGCATATGGGCTGGTACCTTCCAAGAAATAAAATGTGACAACCTTTCAGGTCCATGCTGTGGAAATGGATTAACTCTCAACTGTCCCTAATTGAAAAGACTTTCCATATTTTGGAAGCACATCCTTGTCTCATCTATAGTAACTTTGTCTCTGGATGACCTTGTGTATTGACTACCAAATAGTTTAATTATCAATTACCATATAGGCTTTTTTTTCTCCAATAATCCCCTTGAATTTGAGAGTGTTTGTTTGTTTTGTTTTGGCAATATCTCAGTTCCACACTTTATACTTTCTGGAATTAAAGACTACCATAACATATTATACATAGTTTTTTTTGGAACAGATGGAGCATTAATTTAAAAAACTATATTTTTATATGTTTGGTTTTTTTTTATGAGAAAAAAATAGTAAAGAAATGAAAAAGTGCATTTTCCTGTAAATTTTTCCATATCAATTTTTTTTTATTTGTGATACCCTATACATGTATATATAGTGCCACAGTGCCACTCTGCTATCACAGTGCCATCCAGTCAAACCCAGTGATCCCCAACTTCCCACCATGCCCCCCCAATTCTTCACAGTATTCCCAAAGCCCCCACAGTTCCCCAGCCCTCTCAAGCACCCCATCTCTTACAGTGCCCTTAACCATCTGCAGAGAGCCAACAGTAGCCCTTATCCTGTTGCACAGCCCCCATTTCCTTCCATAGTTCCTTCAGCCCTCTTCAGTAAAGTTAATAAATTCACCCACATCAGTGAAGAGTGGAAGAAAAAAATTGCCCAAATGTTGGTGGTCAGTAGAAGGAGGAATGCGCTGCTATCAGTGGTCAGTATGAGGAAGAAAGCCAGAATAAGTCCAAAAAAAAAGCAAAGTCCAAAATTAAAGTCCAGTGTCCCAAACTTCTGTGACAAAAAAATATTTTATCTATAACACAAACTTCATAAATTTTCCAGCGTGCTCACACCATCAGTGATAAATCATTAGCTCCACACTCACCAAATAGCGTGGATTCTCAAGCTGATATAGCTTTGAGAAACAAAAACAGGCTTAGAGTTGGAGTGTAGTTGCCTCAGATGTTATTTCTCCCTTTAACGATTCCTTACTGGATCTCCTTCCAGGGTGATTCCACATAGGGCGATATAAAATAAAAGAAATATTTCAATAGTATAATACTGTATGAGGGTCAAAGAAATTTTTCTTAAAAGACCTTCCTTTCACTCACATTAGGTGGCTTCAAGACCAACTTCCATGGATTCACATGCCTCCCAAACCACCGATAGTCAGGGGCATCCCTAGGCAGGTGCGGGGGGGTGCGCACCATACCGGGTGACACCTTGTTCACGGGGTGACACAGGACCCGCTCGACCAAGGGCGGACTGCCTGAGGGCCCGGGGTCACTACAGGGCCCCATGAGAGGCTCAGTCCATTCCCCGTTCCACCACTGACCACAATTGATACTAGGGATTTTATTCTTTCATTCACCACTGACACTGGGGCATTTTTTTCTTCACCTCACCACCAACACCAGGGCATTTTTGTTCTGTTACTGACAACTGTTGCCAGGCTACTATTGACATCAGAACATTTTTCCTAGTGTTGACACTAGATAATTTTTCCTCCTACTAGCACATTGGTGAATTTTTTTCCAACTACTGACTGTTGACATTGGGGCATTTTTTTTCCTCCACTGACAATGGGTTCTGTACACTACTTTGTATGTTACACACAGTAGATTACTGTTGTCTGTATATTTGCCCCTGCACAACAGTCTAAACTCAGTAACACAAGCAGCCATTTCATGTAAGAGGTAACCCTAGCAGCAGGGTGTTGCCTTGAGTGCTTGTATCAGTACAGTATGAATGTTGTCTCTGATGAGATGTTTCTGCCTGTATCAATACCCTGCTGATTGTTTCTTTGCTTCTGCCTTGTCACAACCGTATTGATTGTTCCACTATGTACATGTTTCTGCTTGTGTCAGCTCTATATGGTACTAATTGTGCCTGTGTGGACATGTTTCTGCTTTTGTCAGTATGGTATTTCTGCTGTCTCTATAAACTTCTCTGTTTGCATCAGTACGGTACTAATTGTGTCTCAATAGCCATGTTTCTGGCATTGTCAATACAGTACTGATTGTTTCAACTCAACGTTTCCTGGTTTTTGCAGTACAGCATTTACATTATCTCTGCAGACATGTTTTTTTAGTTGTGACTGTGATGACTTGGTTTTAATTTCTAAAAACATTGCTTATTTTATTGTAAAGCAAGGTAAATGAATTTAGTTTTGTAAGATAAATAAGTAAATTGGAGTCAGAGGGGGATTCAAACATTTTAAGGATATTCATGGTGGGAACACCAGAGATTGTTTGAATGGGGTGTGTGGTAGATTTTAAGGCTCCATTTCAGAACACCTCTTGGTCTCAATCATGGATGGCATAGGTGAACACAACCTATTGCATTAGGGTGTGTACCCCAACACTCAAACAGCGAGTCAGGAAATTCCCAATTAAAAGAGAAGTGCGGGAATTAAAAAAATAAACATTTATACTCACCTAGGTGGTTGCAGCGTTGGTCCAATGTTGCCTGT